TTGACATTATATAAAAGATAAAATTATATTTTAATTTAACTGTGGTTAATAAGTATTTGATCCCCTTGCAACCAACAAGAATTCTGTCTCTCACAGACGGTTACATAAGTCCTCTTCCTTTAAGAAAGTACTCCTAATATCAACGTGTTACCTGTATAAGAGACACCTGTCCACAGAATCAATCAATCAGATTCCAACCTCTCCACCATGGGCAAGACTAAAGAGCTGGGATTGGCTACAAGATAGAGATGGCAAATCTGGATCCTTTTACGGACTCAGGGTCTTCTGAGTCAGTCATTGAAGAGATCCGGATCATACGAGTCATTTGAGTCATATGAGTCAGCATCACCAAGACCGTAGAAATCCTATCGGTGAAACCGAAAACTGACGTTATATTAACCTCCGCTACACAGTGTCTTTTGCTTTAATAAAAAATGTTGATCACAAAAAAAAGGGTTATTTTGCGATTTGGCAAATCTGAGTCTGCTGTTGACTCGTGCATGACGACGAGTCTGCTGGATCTCTGGATCTGCTGCTATATGGTTACGGCTCTGAGTCCGCACGAGTCTGCTCTGTTTTGCACAGTGAGTCAGGATTTGCGAATCCGAGTCTGCTGTTGACTCGTGCATGACGACGAGTCTGCTGGATCTCTGGATCTGCTGCTATATGGTTACGGCTCTGAGTCCGCACGAGTCTGCTGTGTTTTACACAGTGAGTCAGGATTTGCGAATCTGAGTCTGTGAAGTTCCGCTGACTCGTAGGCTACTGGTCTCTCGATCATTGACCTGGATTCACGGATCCCGCGATTTTGATTAAGTCCATTATGTTTCCGGCTCTAAATGAAGTTTCAGTGTAGACTTCTAACAAAATTGTCATGTTGTGCAACAGTCTCCTGCGTGTAATAGCTGCATTTCCAATAAGGATCTTACTTGGCAAAACGTTTATTTTGAACATAGCACACAAAAAGAAACAAACAATGACAAATGATAGAAAATTGCAAAACAGTTAGAATATATAAAATGTCTTAATTATACAATTATTATTATTAAACATATAATTATATCTAATCATATGCCCCCCATATTTTCTCATGGACTGCGTAATCATTGCAATACTGGTGTTTGTATGTGTTAAATGTGTGTAAAGTGGTGTCTTTTGCTTTAATAAAACATATTGATCACAAAAAAAAGGGTCATTTTGCGATTTAGCGAATCTGAGTCTGCTGTTGAATCGTGCATGATGACGAGTCTGCTGGATCTCTGGATCTGCTGCTATATGGTTACAGCTCTGAGTCTGCACGAGTCTGCTATGTTTTGCACAGTGAGTCAGGATTTGCGAATCTCTGAGTCTGCTGTTGACTCGTGCATAATATAGCCGCGGGAGCCGGGTGCTGGAGGAGGGGCTATGCTCGTGCACATGGCGAGTATGGATCTCTGGATCTGCTATGCTATTACGGTTAGGAGCCGTCGGCTCCTCTGAGTCCCCACGAGTCTGCAGGAAGTTTCACTGATCCGCGTCTCCTCCCCTGAGCCAAACGATCACTTCTGGCAGCTATCCTACTTGCTAAAGGGTAGGCAGATGGACTGGGGTACGTTGTAATGTGATTTTACATGTTATAAAGAGAGTAGCGAGTGACGCAATTTATAGTTTTAATTTGTACGTCACACCAAGTGTGGGACTCAAAGGACTCGGGTTAATGGAGAGGGGAGACTCGTCACGACCAGCTCATTTCTAGGATCCGGGTTAATGATCCGGATGAATCAGGACTCGCCCATCTCTACTACAAGACCACCAGAAAGGAGCTTGGAGAGAAGGAGACAACTGTTAAAGACAAAATGAGCATCAATCGCCCTCGGTCTGGGGCTCCACACAAGATCTCGCCCCTTGGGGTATTGATGATCATGAGAAAGGTGAAGTATCAGCCAAGAACTACACGGGAGGAACTTGTTAATGATCTCAAGGCAGCTGGGACCACAGTCACCAATAAAAGTATTGGTAACACACTACACCATAATGGATCAAACCCTGCAGCGCCTGAAGGCCCCCTGCTCAAGAAGAACATTAAAGGCCCGTCTGAAGTTTGACAATGAACATCTGATCAAGATTTTATTCGGTTCTTCTCCGTTCAATAACCCTGAACAATCCCAACAACTCAAACTCATTGCATTTACATTTTCTTTTAAACTGCAACTACTCTGCACACTTTTTAATGTATATTATAGGATCTCTGATCGAGGTTATTAAGTTAAATCTGAAATGTCTTTTTTTACATGCTTCTGTAATAAAAAGGTTTCCCAATTTGGATTTAATAAAGTGTATCTGTCCAGCACAATCAAGTTCAAGCAACACGTTTTGCCTCATTAACAACCTCAGCAGATGTTTGCAAACAATTCCTCAGGAGAGGACCAGTCAACACAAACTAACAAAAAGTGGTTTCATGCACATTGTCCCTGACCATGACACTGGGTGGTAACTAGGGCTGTGCAATTAATCGTTTTTTAATCGCAATTACGATTTTGGCCTGCCACAATTACAAAAACAACATAATCGAAAAAAACAATTATTTTGCTTTGCTAGGTTGTGACAGTGCACTGCAACATATTTGATCTAATTTATTTTATAGTCTAATTTATTTATCATATTTATATATGTTTAGTAGCTTGTTGAAGTGCGCTCCAAAATATTTGTTGATCTTTTTTATTGGTATTTATTATTTTTATATTATTTATTTAAATGTAAATATAAATGTATCATTTATTTTATTTATTGGTTTTTCAGTTGAATTATACGTTCAGGGTAATCAACAGTTAAACAGATACTGTTCAAATTATTATTTTAATTTGTTTTAAAGTTCAATAAATTGACTTTTTCAAAGTCAATGAATAATCGTATT